TCAATACAATGTTGCAATCTGTAAACTGTTAAATCCTCTGCATGCTTGTCGTATTAGGATCTATTACGGCATACGTTGCGGTAACTCGTTGCATCATACTTTGCGGTATACTTACTGCTTCTCTATGAGCGTATAATATTTTGTCCTTGAGAAAAATGTCGAGGATACTAATTTGAGGAATCGGGCAAAGGGGCGATGATATCGTGTCGTTCTATTCGTCGATTTAGGAAAATTTCATCCGGACGCGTATACCCACGTCGTACAGCGAGACCGACGTTCTCGTGGGCGCGTACAAACGAAATTTTTCGCAATGAAACATCCTGTTGTACAGATCGAAAGCGTTTTTACGAGCGCAACGACCTGTCCAACGTAACCTGCTTTATGCGGCGGCTTTGAACGATAACGTTCGCGCTACCATACCGGTTCGTCTTATCGGCTTCACGACTTGTACACGGCACCGTTTTCTTTTAATAAGTCTCCTCGAATTTAAAACAAAATTTCTATAGATATTTTTCGTTGCGATCGGAATTATAGCGAGATATCGTAAGGATAACTGAGACCGAAATTTTATATTTTGCCGAATATGATACATTTAACTAGCGCCAATTTCAAAGTAGGAAAACTTGAAGCGAATTTAAGAGCAACGAAAAGAAATTAGAATGGAAGGAAAATGCGAAAAACGCGATCTAAAAGTTAGTTTGAAGATAGCGGTACGCGGCAGCAATCTAATTTACGAAACGGAAATACGTCTGTTGATGGAATTCAGATTGTTTTCAAGCAACTGCGACCAATTGACAGCGCAGACGATGAAAAACACGCAACCTCGGTCATATGTATATATTGTCCTTTGTCCATTCCCATTTGGAATTCTTAAAAGTGGCCGTACCTACCCGACGTTCCTTTTTTTCGTCATAAAAGCGAGAACACCAGACAACAATAAGATGAAGAGCGTTGGTTCGGTTAAAGCGGCGGTGGAGACGATAAAAATACCAAGTACCTTGCAATTACATCTGCAGGTAAGCAAGCTACACGAGTAGTAATGGCTACGAACGATCCAGAAGAAAGCTTCTGTTTTTTGTCTCCGACGAATCCTTTGCGTTCATTTCTACTGCACTGCCAACTAATATACGCAACCGAGTCAAAATCGATCCGATAACAATATTTCCTACGAAAACCCCTAACACGAATCTCTTTCATCGACCGATCGTTCCTTTCTCATCAGCCTGTTCGCGGCTTTTTTCTTTCTAAACGAAATCCAAGAAGAAAAATCGATATGGTCCGGCACAAGGTCCAATTAAACCGAAGAAGTTCTCGGTATGGAGCCGATGAGCATCGCAGGGATGGAATTCCCAGTACGGCGGAGTTAACCCGAGGAACAAATTCCTGCGCTTCGATTACGCTCATTTCTTACGTTCGACCAATCAGAGAAAATGACCGTATAATTTCTGACAGGTAGCCGGAAAATAAACTCGTAATGTAGGAACCTTCCGATCATCGTATTTGGTCATTACTTAAAATCGCTGTACTTATAAACATTATTACGTGGTGAACAACATCGAGTACAATATGCTAACAACATTGTAAGTACACATAGCTACGCGTAAATTGCTACTGAAAACGAAACCAGTACGTTTCTCGTCGATCGTAAAAGTGTTGCTCGATATCTACCTTTTTCGTATTAGTATGTTAAATGGCGATGCAGCGGTCAAAGTACCGAACCTGTTCTTGCTTGATAATTTACGATGCTAATTTTAGTAGGAAATTTCAGTTTCTCGCTTGTTTGAGAAAAGTAGCAGAAGACTCCGTGGTGCAGGTACGATGGACGTTAAAAAGGAAAAGTCGGAACCGAAAGTGTCGGGAACGGCATACGTATTGATGGGAAACGAGTCGCATAATAAATATCAATTATTCGATCGAACCACTTTGCGCCTGTTGATATCTAAGGCATTGTACGTGAACGCAACCGAACGAATATCTGGCGTGCAATCTCTTCGCGGACGAGGATCGAATTTATCGGTTGCCGGGAGAGTAGTGGACCGTCATCGTCATCGTATTCGTGCGGTGCGCAAAGGTGCGGTCGCCACTTTACCGTGACACTAATGAGCAGAACAGCCGGTCCTGTGGCCCGTCCCGCTGTAATTGGTTAGTTAGCACATTTATTTCATATGAAAACGCCGAATGAAAAATGCGAAGCGCGTGCGTCCTAATTGGCGGCCGTGCCATTCTCGGCGTGAATCGTGAACAGATCGATCCGCACGATATCGGATCGTTGACACCGGTGACCGAATAACGTTGCCCTTAAACATGGCGCTCCGATGCGTGTTTTCCGTTTGAATGGAACACAGCCAGCCTAGCCATCGACTAATTAGCGATAAATCGATAGAACCAGTGGTATTTGCGAATAAACGGAATATAATGTTAGCCGAACGAGGTTCTAACTTACACGGTAAGTATCAAAACAAATTGAGGGTAATTAAAGTTTGCGTTTAAAAAGATGTAAACGAGCGGTATCTTTTGTTTGATAAAAAGAAGATAAATATAGAGAAAGGCATGGAAATAGCAGGAAGTCTAAGATACGTAGATTTTGATAAAACGATGCGTGCCATCTTCCTATTTCTTGAATCTCAAATTGTTCGACTATCGATAACTCGATTACATGGCAGAAACGCCTAAATCCGGAATCGCGGTCCGTCAAATCCTCTGCAACACGCTAGAAAATGTGAACGCCATTCAAGCATAACCGTTGCGAGTACAGGTGCATTCGGTGCAGAGCGCACGGCTCCAAGGGACAAAAGCATGAAATAATTGTTGCACTCTATTACGATTCTTCGTCGCTGACCTTGACGCCCGTAAAAGTGCTTAATCGCGCATTCTGCATCATCATGCCACTCTCCAACGTATTTACTCTCTCTCTATCCCTCTCTCCGTCCCCCTAATTCCCTCTCGCCTTTCTGCCTCCGTGTAGCCGTGGCAGCTTTGTCTTCAGACAGAAACACTGAAGCCGCCACACCCTGGGCTCTCCGGGTAATAATAATTGTTTGCGCGCTTACATCTAAAATGGCGTCCTTGTCCTTGCAAGGCTGCGCTCACACCGCCTCGACTCGCTTCTTTCCAACGAACCTCTGGCCAACACACCGTGGGAAGATAGCCGGTTCGCGATCGCAATGGACCCTCCGGCTTGCCTTGACTGATCCTTTCCACAGATTAGTCGTTATCTTCGCGTACCTACTAAACGCGACCACGATAAATATAGAATTAAATGGACCGAGACATTGCAACAGACGTTGTATTAATAAACTCTGAGTTTCACGCATAGTACGCGTCGTACCATACAGCTCCGCCATCGTCGCCGATCTCTACTTCTAAGATCCTCTTAGTTCCGGCGAAGAAACTTTCGCGATGATAAGGAAACGCGAAAAATCCATGGTGTTGCCAGGCACTCCGATCGCCGAGTGAAACGTTCTAAGCTGTCTGCTTTGAAGCATCCTGTACAACGACGGCAATAGTCCGAATACGTTCGAACGAACTTTAAACAACCAAAAGGTAAAAGAAACTCGACAATGTAATAGGCGAGATTCAGCACGGCCTGATGTTACACGGCGATATTTTACCATTTGTTTTATTTGGAAATTCTCCTACACCGTACCAACATTTTTCCTACCTCGAGCTACGGTCAACATTGAAAAGCATTTGAGACAATACGAATGACCATTTTGCTGGTAGTGCCACGGCCTATCCGTTCGAACCCTTGCGTTATGTGGTGCCTTCTCGGATACAACGACCACGATACGCTTTCAATAGTCCAGATTTCATGGGTACGCCCAAGGAAGCTTGTCCAACAAGCCGTAAAGAAGTGTAACGGCCAAATAAATGCTACTATAATGCATTTCGAGGATACGGCACGCCAGCGACTTTGTACTCGTAAATGTTTATCACGATGAGCTGTCCCGGTTTTGTCTGCTCCATTAATAGCGCCGTTTCAGCGCTTCGAATATCGCGACTGCATGCCAACGGACCTCGTTCCTCCACCGAGATCCATTCGTTTCGATGAAATTTTTCTCTGTCCAACGATGCTAGGATATTACGGAGGACCGTCGTCCTCGAAAAAATGAAGATCGTAATTAATTTCAGAGCTGCGAAGCGGAATCGCGGGTTATTGCGTCATAAAGTTGAAATGGAACTTTTCTCCTTCGCGAGACGTTGAATCGCGGATATTACGCGGTATCACACTAATGGATGCCTGTTCGTTCGAGTCGTTGCGATATTTGCTTGGTAAATTTTCGGAGAATAAAAGCTGAAATGAAATTTACTAAAAGATATAAATTGTCTAACGTTCCAGCCTCCCAAAAATACGAAGAAAATTCAGAATTATTTCCTAAGGTCGCTGCGTCGTTATCCGCTAGGTTTCAAACTAACCGTTCAATTAGCATTCAAGTACTTGCCAATGGCACTGAATAAAATTCTACAATTTCTCGCCGTGCAACGTGCTGTCCAAAGTAAGACACGCGCTCCGTGCCAAACTGCAAAGTGGAATAAAAGCGAAACGAAATAAAACAGGGAACAAGTAACACGCGGTAGACGCGTGTTACGAATACTCGCCAAATTTGGAGCTCGCTAGCACAGATTTAACCGTACGTACAACGTACGCTACACCTTGTTGCGCATGATGTCATCTCGAAATCGTAAAAAACCGAGAAAAGTAAAATCCCTGGTTGAGATGTTTTGTACTTTTTGCCCGCGGTGTCGTAATCGAGAAAGACGCTGCGTTTTGTCGCGCGCTTTGATTCGCACAATCTTTGGCGACGATCTGCGAGTCCGACTTAAACCTCTAATACCCCATTGTGAAACATCCAGCGAGATTACGTTTCAACTGGATTCTAACAATAAGCAAGTTCAATCAAAGAATTCATAAATTCGCGTAGATGTGACAACAGCCTCTAATGTGTTCCTATTACACAACCGTTCTTATCTGGCTGCTCCACGGTATTACAATTTCCTCCCTGTCCGTCAAGCAGAGAGAAGCCGTAGTGTAAGCACACGCACGACACCAGCAGGATATCTCGTTGCTCGGTGTGGCAACGATCTCTCGCTGTACTGTACGTCGTCGTCGTTAGTCGTTACACGTCACGGCGCGCGCAATCGGCGAACAAAAGAGTGTGATTCTCCGTGATGGAGGAAAGAAGAAACTGAAAAAGACAGCGATGTGAAGAAAAAGATGGGAAAGAAGAGAAAAGAGGCATCGCGAAACGATCGTGCGAACTCATATCACTAGACGTGATGCAACGTGTACACGCTTGTTATTCTTTCGCGAGGAGATTCGTTCGACAATGAAACTCAAGGTCGTTCCACTTTCCAAGCTTCCCAGGAACCATAGCCGTTCCATCGTGATTTTTATTATCTGTGGCGCGCATCGTTGAGCAACGAACGAGGTGAATAAAATGATATAATTAAATATACATCCACCGAGACCAGGTATGTATCATTTCCCTTTAGTGTCGCAGATAACTGTATAAGGAAAGGTATTACGGGTACGAGTTTACGGCCGAACGTAAAGTTTTACTTTGCACGATCTTTTATAAGGATCGAGCTGCCTCGCGACTCCTCGCGTATATATTTGCTAGTGAGATTGCTTTTTAAGGCGTCACAGTTAGAAACATCACAGTTGCAACGAGCCTGAGATTCCAAATATTAAAATAGATCAAAGTGCGAACATTTCTCGAACGATGAAAAATCATATATGTACGATACAGCTGATTAGAACGTAGCCAGAAAGTTACTCTACTCCAGAACGTTAATTTCTCGTCGCTTGTTCAAATACAATTCCATATCGTTGCTGCGATTACGTATTTAAAACCGATCGTTATCGATCAACGTTAAAAAGATCGGAAGCTACAAATATTTGTAAACGATTAACTTATTATAGATGTTATAAATATCGTGTAAGTTTTACGTAATCAAATTACATTACCGTTAAAACCTCGTATAAGATATATGTGGCGCAAATTTAGCATGGAATCTCTAGATAAGTACTTATGTAACGCGTCTAACGTATCCAGGAAAATATCAATAGAAATCAGAGGAACGCTCTTATGCTAACGGTACCAGTCAACCAGTACGTTACGCGCATAGAAACGTGAAAGAAGAAAAAACAAATTACGCCTAATCCACTTCTCTACTGGTAGTCGTCTTGACAGACCCCACGCAACGTTAATAAAACCATCGATTTCAACTGGAAATCAAACCGCTTGGTGAAGCACATCGAACCTCGCATCGACGATCGGTACCAGCACGAAGTAATCCGGATCGATTCCGCTACGGTGATTCGCTAGTAACGAATATGATCGTCTTGCTCGTACCCTGTCAAACTATTGATACTCGTACACGGAGACGCATACACGCAGCAACTCCACTTACTACGGCCGATTACGTTTCTAGAGAAACTATTAAGGGGCGGTTCGCTTCTGTCGGAGCGCAACAGTTCAGCTTCGATACAATAGAGGACCCCTATTGAATAAGCCCAGATCCTTCGTAGGTTGGCCGTGGTATAGCGTTCGTGGTATAGCGTCCGTGAGCCTATGGTATAGCCATGTATTCTGTTAACCTGCACTTCCACCGAGAGGACTTAGAGCGAAGTTCGCAAAGCGCTGCTGGTAGTACGGCCACTGACAGTGCTGCGTGTAGTAGAGGCGGTACGACGAATCGTACGATACAACCAGTTGCGAGCGTGTTAGTGTCAGTGGGCCTCTTACGCTGGGCCTCAGTCACGCCGGGCGTCAGTGACTTCGCGTCCGCCGGTTCGATCGGTTCTTCTTCTTCCGAGGCTTGGGCAACGTCGCCTCGTCCCACCGTGAAAAGCGTCCAACGAATTTCGCGCTCGCGACATCCTCCATGATTCTTCTTTCGTCCTTAGGATGCGAGAAACTTTTTCAAAAAGAAATAAAATCGGAGAAAAGCAGAGTGAATCTTTGCCGATCGTTGTGAATCGAACGGAGAAGGAAAGCTTGCACGTGCTCCTTGAAACGTTCTGCTCCAAGTATTCGATGGAGATTTGAATTTTGAGACTTTATCAAGCTGCTTTCTTGCCATCTTCCTTCGACGATAGATTCTCCTAAAGGCTACCAGGATGCGGTAGTTCAGCCTCGGTGATAGAGGAATCCGAGGGTGAGGATCGCGGAGGTTGCGAGGCGATAAAACTAAAATACATGTTCCGAGGCACGTGAGAAGTTCCATTAAATCGTAAACGCGACGGGAATCGAGCCACAGGAGATGCGATTGCTCCAACGTAGCCGGAAAGAGTGGACAGCGGTTGACACGTCGGTCGATCGATCGGTTGATTTGTATCAACGTTTCGCGATTAGTAAATGGAATTTTCGAAGCGAAGGAATGCCAATTCTACAGAGCGAATGGCGTTTCCTGTGATCAGTGAGCTTTCAAGGAAATCGTGAAATCGATCCACGATCGATCGAACGAATCATCAGCTGTTTGGAAGAATGACGCAACGTTTTTTCCTAGCGATTGTCGTCGTCGTTGAAAAGGAAGGGATCGTCAACCTTGGTGAGCAGTGCGATGTCGAAGATGGGTCATTCGCGAAGGACACGAAGGCATTCGAGAAGAGAATTTACACGGTGCTGAGTCAAAGGATCGGTAACGCGAAGGATTAAACGAATTATCCCCGGGTTTTGCAACAACGACCATCGAACCGTGATCGTTAATCTCACTGCGTGCTGTTGCTTGCGGTAACAGTTAGTGTCCAGTGAATGAATTCTCGGTCGCGCTCGATGACTGCAACGATCGGCTTTCAGCTTGATCGAGATCGATTCTGAAATCTTGCCCCGCCCGTTCACGATCCGTCGTCTGTCTATCGTCGATCGTGGAAATAATTATCCGCTAGCTTCCCCGCAACGTTGAAGTGGAAAGTGACAGTGACGTCCAGATCCAAGTGACATAACCGAGGAAAGTGCCTGCTGAACCTGTTGCCGATCGACAGCCAGTTTCCGTCGACGTTCTGGTACCGACCAGATGACGCGGGGATAAAAATGCTGCGAAAAGTTAACGCGGGATTCGTTCTTTCACGACTACGATTCGATGACGTGCCGCTCTGGAAAGTTCTAAAGAAACGTCTCAAAGACTTTCTTCGTTACCGATACGCGAATCTCTCGTGAAATTCCTAACTCTGTCCATGTTGTAACGATGCAGAATCGTGTCACCGATTGGCGAAGAACGAACGGAACGTAGTGTCTGCGATCGAGTTAAACGAGATCAGTGAAAAAATAATATATAGTGCGGAACAATGTCGTCGAACGGTGAGTTTTCCACGATGTCCAGCGAGGAGGTACCTTCGCTGCCAAAGTCCCTGCCTAGTTCGAGGGAAGCGACGGCCGAGGGTAGTTCCGGTTCGAGCGGCGGCTATATGCCCCTTCGAGAGTTCCTTGATCGATTCTCGTTACCGAGAGTGGTCAGGCTCGAAGGTACCGGCGGCAGGCCAGTGTTGCTGTACAAACAGCAACAGAGATCGCTTCGGGTTAGTGCAACCCTATTGATCCATCGTTATCGGCACGACGTTAAAGTAGGACCGGAGATAGTCATTCCAGAGGGATACCCGGGTAAGTTTTACGTTCGTATTTCATAATAATACGCATTATATATATACGTATGAATTAGATCCAGGTAGAGTACGTATCTTCTTCGTGATATCACGCGAATATCCTTGATTTCGTAGAAGATACACCTATACGCGTTAGTGCAATTGCGATTTCATCACGTATCGTTTTTAATTTAATCGATTCCATAGACAAAGTCGATCGTCTTTGACCTCCTTTACCTGTTTAGGATGCCTAACGAGCATACTGCACACTCCCTCGTAATTAGACTCGAGGAGATTCGTTTGAACGTTGTTGCGTCGGTTTCTTTCGCAAGAGGTTTGATTGCTCTTAGTTATTTTTTTCTTTTCTTTATTGAACGCAATTACTGTCATTTATGTTTGCATAATATATAATCAACATCTTGCATACTCTAAACTCGAAATGAAACTAATAAAGTATAGAAGCTCGGGATTACATCTATACCCTTTTATTTCTCCTATCGTACGTCACGTATTTTTCATGAATCTCTATTTCGTTCGTAAGATTCGACGCGATATCAGTTTCGCTAACTTCCTATTCATCGTTTAACAATGTAAAATCAACGCCACTCTCCTTTCCGATTTTTCACCCGGGCAATGAGTCAGAGCTCATGAAACCTGTTCAATGGTAAACGATCGGAAAAAAGAAGAAACTATTAGAGAAAAGGAAAGAAAGGAAGGATGGAAGAATAAAAATGAAAGAAGACATCAGGGTTGGTTATAATTGATAGTGAACCATAATCGTCGGCAGCCAGCGGTTAGCTCTTAATGGGCCCGGTATCCGGTAGACATTTTCAGGAAAACGTAAATTATGCCCGGTAAAGCAAACGGGAACGGTTGTGATAACCAGCTTAGATCACTGAAACAGGTTATACTGTATGCTCCGCGAATGCGTCGACAACGTTTGAAAGAGGTCGCTAATGCTTCGCGGCGAGAACCCGGTTGCTCGCTATCAGAAGTACCAGAACTTGTCCTCTCCTCCTTTTCAATCGTAAACCACTTTGTAGCAATAAGTTTGCAAAACGGGCACAGAGACCACGACCACGATCACGACCATGGTCTCGACCTCTACAAGGTACATTTCTTCCCCCGAGCCTTCTCCATATTGGTTTTCTGACATTTGCAACGGAAATTACGAGGTAATAAACCGGAGTAACGCGAACCTATTAGTTTCAACCGATAAGAATAAAGCAAGCAAAGTTTAAGATCAGGGTGGCTGCTTCTTCCAACCACTGTCCCCGTAACGACGTCGGGTTTCTCAAAAAAAAAAAAAAAAAAAAAAAAA